CTTTAAGTTGAGCAGTCGACTTAGATTAATTCTTTCTTTCTACCTCTCACAGGTGCAGCAGTGGATCTTTCTGTTTGGGCAGGCTCTCCAGTCATCAATGGGCAATCTCGAATAAAATGTCATGTCTCTCCACACTTAAAACAAGCTTCGGAGACTCTTCTGCAAACTCCACTATGAGATTTCCCACATTGCAGACATTGATTTAGCTTATCCACTCCTGACTCCACTGAATGAGTTTGTCTAACTCTTCCAGGATTTGATCCTCTACCTGAGGATGCAGCTAACTCCGATCTAGTCTGAGGTTGAAAACTTAAACTTTGAATCTTCTTTGATTGAGAGGCATTGGATGAGACACCAACCCTCTTATTCCATTATGTCTTTTTCTCCACAAACCTCTCATTTTGAGCTCGCTCCAAGGCTTTGGATATATTCACTACCTCTTGGAATGAAGAGAGGTTAAGTGCCAAAAACAACTCTTTCAGTCGGGGGTATAAAACCTTCCAGAAACCAATCACATGAGTCATTCTCTATAGGGACCAACTCTGTCGCAAATCGACTCAACTTGTTGAATTCGCACTCGAACTCATATACAGTGTGATTCCTTTGCTTTAAGCTCATGAATTCTTGCTTCAAGCTCATGAATTCTTGCTTCATCTGACGAATGAACTGATCCCTGATGTATTTGTTCTTAAACTCTTCCAAAAAGAATGGCCAAGTCACCTGGTCCCTTGAAGCTCACATCGTCACATTAGACCACCATATTTTGGCTTGACCTTGTAGTAACAAAACTACACCATCCAGCTTTTCAATTTCATTACAATGGAGATTCTCCAACATAATCTTAAAGTCATTGAGCCATAGATCGACGACAACCGGACCTTCTTCAGTTTCTCCTCTAAATTCGGGTGCTCCTAGGCTTTTAAGTTCCTTAGTAATATTCGTCTTAGGAGCGGAGGGAGTCAACGATTGGAAACGCGTTAGAATCACGTCCAACGTCTGGAAAAAGGTTCCCTGATCTTGTACAGACACCCCCTGATGTGTCTGTTCCTCACCCTACCTGCTTAGGGCAGGTGAGTTGTTACTTCCTTCATTCATATCTCCTGCTTCATTTCGAGATCCCTCAAAATCTGACATATTATAAGATCAATTCACTATTATATTAGTAAGGATATCATACTAATCACCTTATCAGATCAGAAAAAACTTAACTAAAAGTTGGCATCTACACTTTTTAAAACAAAAACGACTTTATTTCAAACTTAAAACCAATTAAACCATAGCTTTGATACCATTAAATGTAACACCCCTAACCCGTACCGACCCGTATATGAATATAAGGTTCCACATTAACTTTTCAATACATAGATTATTCACAATTAAGAACAAATTTAAATTTTTATTCATATTAACAATGTGAAACCTTTCAATTCAAAGAAATTGATGAACTCCTATTCATATTTCCATAAAACCTTAATAATTTACATAATTACAAAAGTATGAGTTTAAAAAAATAAATCAGAGCATTTCAAATTAAATGTGTAGTATATGCCAACAATTTACAAACTTTCAAAAATAAAACCTACATTCAATTTGTCTTGATCTGACCTTCACGGGAGTATGCTATCCTAACCAACTTCAACCTTCCGATTTCTTCAAACCTACGCGTGAGGAAATCACAGGCTAAGTCGATGACTTAGTGGGGCAAAAAGTAAAGAGTACTAAACTTTATAGATGAAATCTTTAATTTATTTTATCGAAATATTTCATAAAGAATTCCAAATTATTTTCCATAACAATAAGGTATACTTATGTATATTATTTGTTTTATATAGCTTTGTTTCCAAATGCCCAATGTATACTACTGAGAACTCTAGGTATTTGAGTACATTGAGGTTGTGCACTAATGTTGTCGCCACAGCTCGTAATTTACACCAAAGTGCCACATAATTATCCTGAATGACCACATAGGTTTGCACCAAAGTGCCACATAGGTTTGCACCGAAGTGCCACATAATTGTCCCAAATGATCACATAGAACCCTCGACTATTGGCATGCCAACTATACCTCTAATCCTCATACATATACCTTGGGCTTTTAACCACATAATTATTTATCATTCATTATTCGAAGTATATTTTATTCACATAAGCACTTTCTTATTGAAAATTTTCGTATACCCATGTTCACATATCACATTTCCATAATCATATACTCATAATCATTAATCTTATAACCATTAATCACAGCTTAAATAATAGAACTTGAATAAAACATTATAAAGATATAACATAAAAGAAATTTAAAGGTTTTCGATTGAAAACACTGAGAGGTTGGCTTATCGCAAGCCTTCCTCAATTCTAATACAAAACGAAGAAGTCACACTCACATTTGCCTCACTGAGTCCTAAACGAAACATTAACGCTTTTGGATCGATACTTATAACGTCGAGTTGACCGAAAGTTGACTTTAATCAAAGTCTACACCAAACAATCAAAAATAAATACCGAAATTCAAATCGCTTATATCCAATCATAATAACTTAAACTGAAAGAAACACTTAATTTCTCATTTCATGTTCAATAATATCGGTACTCCTACTATAATACCGATACTTCCCTTCAATGGTATCGATACCCCCAATGGCACCGATACCATTTTGACATTCTAGAATTTTATCTTGGAAATGGTATCGATACTATACCCTTGGTATCGATACTCCCCTATCAGTATCGATACCTTCCTCAACCAGTACTGATATTATTCTTTGAATTCAATTTATTTTTACCTTGAAGTATCGGTATTGTTCTTCCAGTACTGATACCTAAGCCCAAAATTGCCATTTCTATTTCGAATTAACCAAAACTTACCTAATTCTCCTACTTTGATCTCTTTTTATGCCTTTAAACTAAACTTCCTTCATTAAAACCAACTTTTCTCCATTTACTACTCCCTAACATCCAAAATCTCATTAGAACACTTACATCTAAAAATCATAACATGTTTTCAAACATGTTCTTAATCATTTCTAATCCTCCTAACTCTTTAGTTAGGTCATTGACAAGTCAAATTTAGCCATAGAACTCTAAAAACTACACCATATCAACAATTCATTTCAAAATCCATTTAACACTTTCATTTCTAATTCACTCCTCATATTGTTTTAATCTCTTACAAGCTTTCCTTAAGCTTTTATAACCCTCAAACTTTCAATACCAAACCAGAATTGAAGGAACCAACAATTTATAAAAACTTACCTTTATAAGTGGAGTTCACGGTCACTATGAAAAAGATAAAAACCAACTCCAGACTTTTCTCTTCTTTTTGTTTCCCTCATTCCACGTGTTATATCCCTTAAAAGAGAGAAGATAAAATCTTTCAGGTGAAAAGACCATATTGTCCTTCCACTAATCCAAATTTAATATCAAGTTCTAACAGAAAATTTCCATAATAAGTCCTTAAAATTTCAAATTATTCTAATTAAACCACTAAATTTTGAGTTTTTACATTTTGGTCACTGACCCGATGATTGGGATGTTACAAATATTCCCCTTAAGAAAATTCGTCCTCAAATTTTCATTGCATAAAGAGGTGGGGATATTGCTTCCTCATATTTTCTTCACGTTCCCAAGTTGCTTCTTCCACTTTATGATTTCTCCAACGAACCTTAACTAGTGGAATCGTCTTATTCCTTAATTGCTTGATTTCATATGCTAGAATTTGAACCGGTTCTTCCTCGTAAGTTAGGTCAGATTGAACTTCTATTTCGTTGGAGTTATGATGTGCACAAGATCTTATTGATATCTCCGAAGCATAGACACATGGAAGACATTGTGGATCTTTTACATCTCTGGAGGCAAAACTAATTGATATGCCAGTTGTCCAACTCTTTTTAGAACTTCATAGGGTCTAACGCTAATTGATATATCAAGTAATGGTCGGTCTTGCTAGGTGGACATGCCTTAAGTCGGTGCTAGCCTCGGCCCTCAGTGCACCCTCGGTGTACGCAGGCCTCGACTCTGTGTGCTCCCGATATGTGCTATCCTCGCCCCCAAGTGACCCCCTTTGTGCATTCATATCGGTTCTAGGCACACACCCGGTGTGCGTTGGCCCCGACCCCGAGTGCGTCCCATTGCTTGTTGGCTATAGCCCTCGGTTAACCTTGTCGTGCGTTGGCCTCGACTCTAGGTGCACCTTGGTATGCGGTGGTCACGACCCTAGGCGACCCTTGCTATTTGATGGTCGTGCTTGTGAGTAGTTTGGGGCAGGTGTGTCTTGACCCTGTTCGGTGATGTGTGTGCCTTGGTCTCGGCGTGGCCCTTGTGGGCCACCTGGGCAGCGGCTGTCGCACCCTGGTGGGTGTTGGTCTCGACACCACAGTGAAAGCAACCTGCTTTGTGCTGGTTGTGGCCCCACGGGTAGTCTGTTGTGGGCCGACCTCACCCACAAGTTTACGGCTCGTGACATTACGCAAGTATATAGCTACAGCAGTTTTGCATATCGATTGGTTCCCTAGAAAATGGGCCCAACTAAGTAATCTGCAACCTCTAGACCAAATGCACAAGAAGTGCCGTTTACAATCAAATTTACCGCCTTCAACTAATCAAGATTACAAGTCCTATTTCCCAATTGTTAACAATTGGAAATTTGTGTTAATTAAACGGTTAATCATTAATCAATTCAATTATGGACCAGTTTAAAACCCTGAGCAGTAATCGTGTCATAATATCCAGCCCACGAACGCGGGCAAGTTGAAAAACGAATGAAAATCCGAAATATACGCTCAATTGAAAACAAATTAGGAAAATGGTGCGTCACGGTTCAGTCACTCAGTTTTTTTTTTTTTTGAATTAACTCAGTTTCTCACCCTTCATTGCCTTGGATGGGTGGTTAGTTGCTGTTACGCTCGGGTTGTCAAATTGTCCTTCTCATGACAGAACAGACAACCCTTCAAAAATATCAAGCTGCTCTATTAATTATTATTTGCATTTTCCTTATTTGACATCATCCCCTCGATAAAAAAATCCCTTCATTTCCTTCTCTGTTCTCTCACAAACAAGATTTTAAGAAGACCCTTGAACCTCTTTGTTTTCTCATTTCATTTAAAACAATGAGAGAAATCCTTCACGTTCAAGGAGGTCAATGCGGGAACCAAATCGGATCCAAGTTTTGGGAAGTGATCTGCGGCGAGCACGGTGTTGATCCTACCGGAAGGTACACTGGAGATGGAACATCCGATATGCAACTAGAGCGGATTGATGTGTATTACAACGAGGCTTCCGGTGGAAGGTACGTTCCTCGTGCGGTCCTTATGGATCTTGAACCTGGTACTATGGATAGTATCAGATCCGGTCCCTACGGCCAGATCTTTAGGCCAGATAATTTCGTATTTGGACAATCGGGTGCCGGAAACAACTGGGCCAAAGGTCATTACACTGAAGGAGCCGAGTTGATTGATGCTGTTCTTGATGTTGTTCGCAAAGAGGCTGAGAATTGTGATTGCCTGCAAGGTATATATTATCTTCCTTGCTTCAACATTTCGATACTGATGAAAGTATAGTTTTCATGTTTCAGTTTAAAATTTTTAATTTGACAAAATCTAATTTGATTTTTATGAAGTTGATTCTACTTGTAAACCCATTTCAACATAATGGCTTTGCTCATTTTATTTTCAATTCAAAAAGTTTGAAACTCTTATCTCTTTGAGTTGCCATGTAACTTCAATGAGAGCGATGTACTACTGCTTCTGTTGCTCATCTTTTGATTTTCTTTGGGCGATTATCATAAAGGTAAATTACCTTTAAGCTTTAAAAAGGACGTGCAAGATCTTGAATGTTCAGATTAATATTTCACTGTGAAATTATTTGAAAGGTCTGCCTCTTTGTTCAGTTAGTAATCTTAGTTTTGTCTGTTGTGGAGGCAGGGAGCATTGATCTTTCCATACCTATGTTATATATCTGATTATCTATATAAGCAAAACTCTTTTTTTTCATCCATTATTGTACCGACAAGCTTCTTACCATTATATGTTTCTTTGCAAAAGTCAACAAAATTTTTACATCTTACTGCACCTGATTAATATTTTAATGCATTAGGTGGAACCTTGGGGGCCCTTGCGAGCTCATTATCATATACATATATATGTATATATGAATGCTGTCTTTAGTCTTTACATTATTATCATGGCTTTGTCAATATTTTGATATCTGAATCCTGAAGTAAAGAAATAAGGATTCCTAAATGAGCATGGAGAATCCTAACGTGCATAAATGCATGGGGTCATGTGACTTTCATCTCTACCTGAAAATGATAAGTCACATGGTAAATTGTAATATTGGCATGGGTACTGGATATTTCTCTAATACAAAAGTTGAAGAAGAGTAGGTATAAACCAATTTAAAAAAATTGAAGAGAAAGCCAAGCCTCTAGATCTTTTTTTTTTAAATAATGTTGAAATATATATATGAACAACAAACATTTAAAAGAATATTAATTAAATGTTTATTTCATAGGCCTAAGATATGTGAAAAGGAAAAATAATGTCATCATCTGATTAAGGTATGATTGCTGTGAAATATTTGGTTTGTTGATATTTTAATTATAGTAACATTATGTTATAAATGATGATAATGGTAATAATGAACCAAGTCCATATTAAAGGACCCCTGGCCTGACATGTAGGCTGATACCTTTTCTGGCATAATGTTGAGGAAAGATAATGACCTACTTCATGCTTTTAATATCCTTTTCAAAAGAATGTTGGTGGTTCAGCTGTTCTGGAAAATTTTCCATCGGGATTCTGATTTGCTAAGTTATTTTGGAGTAGGTTCGATCTTCCAAGTAGTGGTCATTGCCTAAAAATAAGATGAGATGTAAATCCTCACCGTTGAATCTGGCACAAGTTAATCGTAATTTCTTATTTATTTACTTAAAGCTTGTTTGATCCTGGTAAATAGAGCGTGGTCATATTATCTATCCAGTAGGTTTTTCTACTTCTAGGAAGGAGTTGACTTAAATATGACGTTGCGTGTAATTACTAGTATTTAGCAATAATAGACCTTATTATACGTTAAAAATTGGCAATTTCCCAATTTCCCCTTGGATAGTCTGATGAGGCTAACTTGTTTATGTTAATCTGGACCAGGTTTCCAGGTATGCCATTCACTTGGAGGAGGCACAGGCTCTGGCATGGGAACTCTCCTGATATCAAAAATTAGAGAGGAGTATCCAGACAGGATGATGTTGACATTCTCTGTTTTCCCTTCACCGAAAGTCTCCGATACAGTTGTGGAGCCTTATAATGCCACCCTCTCTGTTCATCAGTTGGTTGAGAATGCTGATGAATGCATGGTCCTTGACAATGAGGCTCTTTATGATATTTGCTTCCGGACCCTGAAGCTCACTACTCCTAGCTGTGAGTGATAAAATGTTTTTTTCTTGATGGACGGCTCCGCGGTTCGCTATAATGTGAAACTAATTTAACATACTGGAGCTAACCCTACACTTTTAATCTTGCAGTTGGAGATCTGAACCACTTGATTTCTGCAACTATGAGTGGTGTAACGTGCTGCCTAAGGTTCCCTGGACAGCTGAACTCTGACCTCCGGAAATTGGCAGTTAATCTGATCCCATTCCCACGTCTTCACTTCTTTATGGTTGGTTTTGCACCACTCACATCCCGTGGTTCCCAGCAGTACATTTCTCTCACTGTCCCGGAGCTGACTCAGCAGATGTGGGATGCCAAGAACATGATGTGTGCTGCCGATCCTCGCCATGGTCGTTACCTGACAGCGTCAGCTATGTTCCGAGGCAAAATGAGCACCAAAGAGGTTGATGAACAGATGATGAATGTCCAGAACAAGAATTCATCATACTTTGTGGAGTGGATTCCCAATAACGTGAAGTCCAGCGTTTGTGATATCCCGCCGAAGGGTCTGACGATGTCGTCTACTTTTATAGGGAACTCGACATCCATCCAGGAGATGTTTAGAAGGGTAAGCGAGCAATTCACGGCAATGTTCCGCCGTAAGGCCTTTTTGCATTGGTATACTGGCGAGGGGATGGATGAAATGGAGTTCACGGAAGCAGAGAGCAACATGAATGACTTGGTTGCAGAGTATCAGCAATATCAGGATGCAACCGTGGAGGATGAAGGTGATTATGAGGACGACGAAGGGTCTGGAAGAGAACTATGAGAACTAAAATGTGTTGTTAATTAGCTGCGACGAACCTGAATGAAGTTTGAGAATAGCAGCAACCTCTGTCTTGGTATATACTACCGTGTGGCTGTCACTGTTTGTTTAATTCTTCTGCTCTGTTCCTTGTATTCCGAATATGATGATGTTTGCTTTTTTTTTTCTTTCTCAGACATAAATAAAAAGTTCCGAATCTGATGATGTTTGCTTTTTTTTAGACATGAAATTATCAGTTTTACTCTCAAACACAGGCTATAATCAGGGACGCTTGAATTCGGTATAAAGGTTTTTCGTTTACAATTTGGCAATGCAAACACTAATCCGTTAATAGTTAGCCCTGCGCAAACAACAATTGGTATAAGAAGTAAATTAACTTTGATTACTTCAATAAGCAAAAGGATGAGTACATTTGGAAGAAAGGCCATCTTTCCTTCCCTTGGGAGAGGAGGATCGGGACTTTAAATAGCAGAAGTGAACAATTTGGGGGACAAAATGCTTTTCTTTGTGCGAATACATAAACTATACCAATTATTATTTATGTCCAAATCATATGAATCCATGTTTCAGTTGGATTGACCAAAAAAATTACCCTTCCATTGTCCCTCAAAAGATCAGGAACACGAGGAGCAGAGCTCTCTTTCTTTCTTCATGATCACATCAAATTCATTGATGCCACCGTTCTTGTCGTGCTAAACAGAAGTTCTTTCCCTCGCTGCACAACGTTTTATTGCAGGTGTACAAGAAGAACTCCTTGGGTTCCATGAGGATTCTACCTCCCTTCACATTTTGGAAACTTCATCGAATCCTCCTAAGATAGATGATTCAAGTTCTAATCTCTCAGTTATTTCATCCTTTTCATCCAGGTCCTCTATATTGGAAACGACTGCCTCGATTTTCTTCTTAGCCTTATTAAGTTCAGAATTCTTGTTGGTTATTTATTCATAAACTGAATTTCCATAATATATTGAGTGATATCAATGATAAAAGAAAATATTATTCTCTCTAAATAATCCGAATTCGAGTAACTACACTTAAATATGTGTATATATTCCCAGGTATTTTTAAAAAATAAATATACAATGATATCTTGTGTAATTTACTGGAATAGTTATTAGCATTGGACCGGTTTTGACCGATCGAACCAATCAAAAGTTCAACCTCCAGATCGGTTTTGCTAGTGGACGGCGACGCATAAAAATGGAAAGTATTCCCGATTGGTCGAGCAGCCTGCCAGCTGTCCGACATTTTCATCCATAAACCCTCGTCTTGTCCCAAGTCCCGCAAGCTGAAGTACTGTTCCAAAATCCAATGCCAGTCCAAGAATGATTTCATTCGTGCGTGTTTTGTGGCTTTTGACGCCAGGCTAGGGGCCCAACTCTTCCAATTCCACTCCTTTGCTAAACCCTTCTCAAACATTTCTACTTTATTTATGAAGTTTAATTCAATTATTGAAGGTTTATAATATTTTAGGTATGCCGTTAGAAAATAGAGGTATTATGAAATATTTTAGATTCCTGCCATATTTGATTTGAGTTAATCAGTTAATCAATTGGATATTAATAATTAAATTTAAAAAATAAAAGCTTTAGATGATATTTACTAATATTTTTGATAATTTTATATCCAGAATATAAAACTAAAGCCAAAAACTCATTACTTATCTTTTTTAAGTTGAATTGAAAAATATTTTGCATTCTAAAAAATAGTTTTTTAATATTTTTATTTATTGTTTCAAAAGGTATAATAATAAACTTAATTATCAACATTTATTTTTTCATTGTTAAATAATCTTTACTTTGAATCATTAAATTTGGTTTTTAATATTTTAAATGGTAATAATAATTTAAAATAAAAATATGTATTAAAATATTAAATTTTTAATGATTTTAAAATGATAATTCATATGTACTTCATGTCAATTGACACTGCTGATCTTATATATGATATGAACATAATTCAAAATTATAAAATATTTTAAAAGTTAAAAGAATTAGAAAACAATTGCATGAAGTAGGATGCCATATAAATGATATTTCAATTTTAATATTTTAGTTATTACTTTTTTAGAGAATAATAATTTTATTCTTTTTGAAAAATTAAAAGTCGGATTTATGGTTAAATTTAATGCTTTACTATAAAGATTACCATTACGTTTAACATAAACTTTTTAAATCAAAATTAAATTATGATTAAATTACACCTTTACCCTTATTTAAAGTTATATTTAAAACATGAACTAACAGTGATAAAAAAATTATTGTTATTTCTTGAGGTACCGGGTTTGAACATTAAAAACGCAAGAGTGTGAATATTCAATGTTAAAATAGATGAAAGTTATCTTTAAACAAATACTTCGTAATACTTACCCAATCAAAATAAAGTTGTATTTAAAATCAATCTTTTATATTTACATATTAAATATGTTGACCAAATTAATAAAAACACTAAAAAATTACATCGTCACAATTTTTTTAAAAGTGTAAACTACAACAACAATTACCAATGTTTGAGTAAAATTTTGTTTTCCACACTAAAGTTTTAAAAGTTACAAATTAATCACTAACGTTATCGATTTGTAACAAAATGGTCACTCCACCGTTATCTTGTTTAAATTGATGATGTGACAATATTAATAAAAAGGTTAATCTTTAGTTTTACCCTAAACTATTGCTAAAACATCAAATAGGTCCTTAAACAATGATTTTATATCTAATTTATCCCAAAAGCTTTCTAATTTATAGTTTTTTTTGTTCAGACATACCACCACCACAACTGTATTTGAACCACCTTTTACAAAACAAAAATCACACTGCATATATAAATGGGGTTTTCTATTAAAGACAAATACATGAGTATTTCAAGCCATATATTTAATTAATTTTAATGTAAAAAAATAATGCTTTTGGGATGGTTTTATTTTGTAAGAAAAGTGGTTAGAATATTTAAAGACAAACTCTCATTTTCTAAGTGTGGTTTTCATTTTGTAAAGAAACTGGTTAGAATATAATTGAGATGGTGGGGTTTTTAAAATCTGAAAATTAGAAAGCTTTTGAGATAAATTAGATATAAAATGATTGTTTAAGGACCTGTTTGATGTTTTAGCAATAGTTTAGGGGTAAAACTAAATATTAACCTTTTATTAATGATGTCACATCATCAATTTAACAGAGAAAATGGTGGGGTGACTATTTTGTTACAAATCTATAACATTAGTGACTAATTTGTTACTTTTGAAACTTCAGTGGGGAAAACGAAAACTTACCCAAACATTAGTGACCATTGAGTATAGTTTACCCTTTTTAAAAACACTTTGAACAGTGTATGCATGAAATGAATATCATTGAGCACAATCCTGGCATCAATAGACTAAAAACACTTCCTTTTTTATGCAATAATTCAGTGAATTAAAACACTTTGAAAGTTGCTGAAATGATTTGGCAATAGATTCGTGAGCAGGGGACAGCTGTCGTCGGAAAGAGGGTTTGAAGAACAGCTGTCTAGTTGATTGGATTAGGTTGGTTACTTAGAGTGATGTTTATAAAGAGCATTTGCACAAGTGACAAACCTCCCATCCTTTTCCGAATGAACAATGGTCAATCAGGCAAATTACCCAATACGTTCAAAACCCTTTGTTGCTCATTAATGCTAACGCTGGAGAGATGAGGTCTATTTCAAGCCTAAAACGAACGCCAAACTTCTTTATCCGATAAAAAAGAAGGAAAAGCCACCCAATGATGTTGCAGTAGTTTTCATGGAAGCCATCTTTGAACCCACCGGCCTACACCATAGTATTAGCTGTCCAGGGGTACGGTGGTTGAATTATTCCTATATTTAAGTTCTAAAACAAGTCTCATGCCTCTTAAGTTTCTGAATGTCATTTCTCCCACGTTTGGTTTATAACAAAACCTAGTCCATTAATATATGGAATCAAACACATTTCATATCTATAGTTGACAGGGTGTTGAATTATCTTACCGACTTGGACAATGATGGTATTATAGAATGCATGCACCTCTTAGAGGTTTTGTTAATTTGGCTTGTCGCTTGTCATCTCAGGCCAATATCATCTTAAAAGCAAGCTTGAACTTGGATCAGAAAATTGGAAGTCAATTTACCGATAAGCATACAAATATCATGAATCATGTAAGCTTCTCTTACGTGATAATTGATTTTCAGAGACTCGGCCAAGCAAACCGACTTGGATTATCAAAAGAATCCAAGTTTAAAGGTCTATTTATTAACCCCCACAGAAAAGGATAGCAAGAAAAACACCATTTGCCATGCTTGGAAAAGCCACTACTAGATAAACGAAGCACCATCAAATTATCAATCATAAACAATGAGAAAATTACTTTGGCCGATCCAGATAATTCTATTGCAGCGTTTCGGTCCACAATATTCCATGAAAATTGACAAGTCACAGCTGCACACTTCTTTTTTTTCCCTCTCTTCCGAGTACTTGCCATAGGATTGTTTCGGATTTTAGCATGCACACCTAACCCTTTTCAATCACTTAGTACTGACCAGTACTTTTCTATCTCCAACATTTTTGCTATAAATACAGAACGCTAAGGGCGATACATTCAGGCAAACAATTCTCTGTGTCTTTCTACTTAGTAATCATTAGATTTTAGTCATGGCTATTATTTCCAAGGCTTTGATTGCTTCACTTCTCATCTCTCTTCTCATCATTCAACTGGTTGAAGCTGATCATCAACTGGTAAACCTTTATTTCGTTCCTGGATAATTTTTGCGATGAACTCCCTGTTAGTGGTAGTAATGATTCTTGTGAAATACAGGTGACAAATGCTAGAAAGAAATCGTCGCCCCCGAAGAAAATTGGTAAATATTTTAACACGTCAAATATGATACCGAGATATGAAAATTACTTGTAGGCCAAGTCAACCCGTTTTTAATATGTATATGGTTTTCAGACTGTGGTGGAGCTTGTGCAGCAAGGTGCCGATTATCATCAAGGCCACACTTATGCAAGAGGGCATGCGGGACATGTTGCGCACGTTGCAACTGTGTTCCTCCAGGAACTGCCGGCAACCAAGAAATGTGCCCCTGCTATGCCAGTCTCACCACCCACGGTGGTAAACGCAAGTGCCCTTGAATGCGTGCATGGTGTGAGAATAAATAAAAGAACGGGCGTATCTATATGTAAAGCTAAAGTCATTCTGTTAATGACTTGATCCCCTTTCTTTCTTTGTTTGGGTGTGCTATTAACATTGTATTGAGCTTGAATATATCATATGTGTGTGTAATATGAAATAATAAATATGCTTGTATAGTTCTCTTCGCTTTTTTATGTTACTTGTATTTGCATAAATACTTATCTCGAAGAAAGATGTTAAAGCGGGAGAAAACTAAAAGAAATTGATTAGGATTTATGAAAGAAATCGTAAAATGGATGTCAATTTTTTATCAACGGGTTACGTATGCGGCGGAGCAGGCAAAAAAGGTATGATTTCGACTCATCACTAGAAAATGTTTCGAAGGTGTCGATCCAGAGATGAAGAGTACTTTCTAGACTCGGTATATCATGCTTTTCCCATGTTAAGCACTTCAGCCAACTCTCATCTCCCACTCGAGAAAATAGAGCAAAACTGAACCTGGATCCAAAGATTTATTGATAAAATAGAATGAATTACTTGCGTATTAACTCAGGAGGCAGTTTACAGGTTGAAGTGAACCAATTCATGCAACCAAATTCGAATAGAATCTTGAACGATCAAGCAGGCAATCAAGACAAAATTCCACACGTCCCTCGTGCTATTTGAAAAACAGTGTATTCTCATAATTCTTCTTCACATGACTTAACATCTACGTAAGGGTATTATTCATCCATCAGTCTGATAGCTTTCTTTCCTTTTAAGTCTATAACTTTGGTAAGAGTCCAGCAAACCTTTACATTACCGTCTATTCCTTTCTTTCTCTTGCTATAAATGCCAGGCCAAGCAGTGTGGATCTACTCATCGCACTCACAAGCTTAGTTCTACGAAATAACTATAATTCTGAAATCTACTGTCGATGGCCATCTCCAAATCCCTTTTGGCTTCCCTTCTTCATTCTCTACTTTTACTTGGCTTTGCTGATTCCTCTGATACAATGGTGAAGCATTCGCATTTCTAAATTTTGTTCTTAAACCTTCAAATTTTGGCTCACTTGTGTGTTTACAGGTGATCAAGAAGCCGGTGGAGAATTTTGAGATCAGTGATGGAAAAATAGGTAATATTTATACGTGCGTCCTTCAGTATATTAATAATAATAACTCAGCTTTGAATTTTGATTGAAGTTTTTGAATGTGTTATGGTTTAATTAGATTGTGTAAAGCATGTGCTGGGAGATGCAGGTTATCTTCGAGGCCGAACCTTTGCAAGAGGGCATGTGGAACATTTTCTCTCCATGCAACTGTGTTCCTCCCGGCACCTATAATAACTATGATGCGTGTCCTTGCTACCGTGATATGACCACCCATGGCGGTAGACATAAATGTCCATAAATTATATAGTAAGATTGCGATGACAATAATCACTCGCAATGTAAAAGGCATGCTTGTAACTACTTGTTTCAGCTTTAATTATAGTGATGATACTCGAGTTTGTGGTTACTTTTGGTTTATATACTTCCAGTCGGCGATTTTTCAGAGTAAATACAAATATTATCAATTGGGCTGAGCCAGGGTTGAAAAATCTGTGACCCGGAATGGACTATCAATGGCAGTGCAGGGGGGATATTGCAGGCCTCTATCAGATCTCCCTCTTCATTGCATTCGAGCCCACTGAACTTTGTGCTTTACCTGGAGAAGTCCATTAGTTTTGTTGTTGTTTTTGGTTTAATTTTTAGATGGAATTTATTGGAGTTCATGGTGTTTATTTCCCAACAATAAACAAAGCTCTGATTAGCAGTAATAAATAGAGCAAGACCTAACCCTAGATAGAGGGCATTCACCGTCTCCAGAGGCGAACACCTGAATTGGAGCCCATGCCGGGATGAAACGCTACCTGCCCTTGCTCTTCATTTTAAAACATAGCTCTTTAAGTTCAATTTGTTGGGACAAGGACAAGTTTTTAATTTTATAAAAAAAATACTACACATGACAATATGTTAATATAGAGCATGGAAAATATTATAAATCCTCAATTTTTAACATTTAATTTAAATGAATAATTCATTTGAAGTGTAAGTTTGAAATTGATTCGATTTACCCATAATTATTTGATCAACTAGTTAAGTTCAAACTTTGTTAAGATGGTATTGAAAAAAATATTTTGGGAGTTGTCATTGACCCTTTGGGTTAAGTAGGTCAAATACCTTAAAAATAACATTTTAAAATAGTTTTTAAGAAAACATAATTTAAAAGATAAATTGATATGCGTATAACCAAAAAAAATTAGTAAAGAAGGGATTCGTGATCGATTACGTTTAGGGAAATATTACACCCCTATAATGCCCAAAATTGATACTCATTAATTATAAATTGCCTCTATTATTGAAAATTTAAAAATATATTTAATTCATAATCATATTATTTCAAATTTATTAATATAATTAGAAAAATATTTAATATCTATATATTTTTTATTTTATAAATAAAATATTTATTTATTTAGAAATATCAGAAAATGACTTCTAGGTGCTTTAAGACATCTCATTTCTTAATATTAAAAACATATATTAATAAAACATTTCTCTAAAAATAATTAAAATTAATATATAATTTATAAAAATAGGATATTTATTTATTTAAGAATATCAGAAAAGAACTTCTAGGTGCTTTAAGACAGACAATTTCTTAATATTAATAAATGAATAAATAAAAACATTTTCCTAATAAAATTAATATATAATTTATGAAAGTAAAATATTTATTTTCTTAAAAATATCAGAAAAGGACTTGTAGTTGCTTTAAGACAATCAATTTCTTAATATCGAAAAATAAATATTTTTATTTAAGTAAATATATATATATATATATATATATGACAATATAATAAAATAATTTAAGTAATAATTAAAATATATCAAAAGTAATATTGCAAATAAATAATGATCAAAATAAAAGAAATTAAAATTATAGTATTAAGATGTAAAATATTTAAACTTAGCGCTTTAATTAGAAATATCACAAGATCTAAAGACCTATAGTGTAATTTAACCATAAATATTAACAGGTGATTAACATAAATTAATAAAATTATAAGGTTAAATCGTGACATTTACCCTAAATATTTAAACATTTATATACAGTGACTAGATTATAAATAAAGCAAAATTAAAAGACAAAACTAAAACGTATAAAACATCAACTTAGTGACTAAAATGGAAGTTTATTAAATATGAATGGCCCCGGAGAAGATTTACCAATATACGAAATTACGAATACACTCCTCCCCAAAACGACGTCGTTCGGGGATGGGTATATAAACCCATAAAACCGACCCTCTCTCTTAATTTCCCACACCGAAGAGAAAACCGATCCTGGCCGGCCACCGTATGCCGGCTCCGATCACCGCCGCAGCGGTGGCCAGAAATTTCAAATCTACCCCAAATTAAAGCCTTGTTTCCCCTGAAGCCAAATCCTAGATTACCTTAACCTAAAACTCTACCAAACGTCGTGGATCTAGCTTTTTTACCTTCTCTTCGGTTTTCCAGTGGTTCCACGGTGGTTTTGGAAGTTCCTTGGTGGTAAGTTCCTTCCTCATTTTTTCTCTCTTTCTTTTTTGTTTTATATTGATGGTTGTAGTGGGTTCGTGCTTGCTGTCTCTGGTTGTTGGTTATTATCTTGCTCTCGGGTTCTTGCTTTCTCTGGCTTTTGTTCGTTGTCGTTCTTTTTCTGTGTGTTTTGGCTTGCTCTCCGTCGCCCCCCTCTTTTTTATTTTGCAGGTTTGGTGATGGTTTTATAAGTCATCATAGAACTCGTCTTGGACTGGTAACAGAGGGGTTTCTCGGTGAGTCACCAGACTATGGTGGTGACTCACCATAGAGCTGCAACGTAGGTGATTTCGTGGCGTTCTGGAGACTTCGGTTGGGACGTGCAATAGCTGGTTCACCATAGAGCTGCAACGTAGGTGATTTCGTGGCGTTCTGGAGACTTCGGTTGGGACGTGGCAATAGCTGGTTGAGGCGGTGGTGTCGGTAGTGGATGGACGAGGCACGTGGCAGAGGCGGCGCTGCGTGGTAGCTGAGGAGGCGTCTGGAATGTAAACCTAGGGTTATAAAACCCTAGGGCTTTATTTGTTGGAACCATCTATGGACCGTTGGATCTCTCAGATCCAACGGTTGAGATCGTTGGTGGCTGAGATGATGAAACCCTAATTGGGTTTAGGGTTCTTTTGGGCCTCCCGAGTTGGCTCTTAGTTCTGGGTCCCAATTTGTAATTGGGTTGGGTATGATTTGGGCATGTAATAATAATAATAATAATAAAATAATAATAGTATAAATAGTATAAAATGATAATAATAATAATATTAATAATAATATTAAAAATAAAGAACAAATGGATAAAAATTAGTATCTTCAACTGCCCCTCTTTGCTCATTCTTGTGTTAACAAGAATAGGGCAAAGACGAAAAGATAATAATTTTTTTTATCCATTTGACTTCACTTGATTATGATGGCAATGTTAAACAAATTCTTCTTTGGGATTAGTTCTTCTCATTATGAACTTTTCCACTGGGATGATAATTTATCTCATTCTATGATGTAATCTAGTCAAAAAGTTGAACAAATTCTTCTCATTATGAACTTTTTCTTCTTTTTCAGATGAGTTCTTCTCATTATAAACTCCTTCTGAAAATGCTGATCTTCAAAAGAGGGGTTGCTAATTTGCTTCATATGTGATGAATTAAGGCAATGTTGAACAAGTTCTTCTCATTATGAACTTCTTCTCCTTCTTCAGATGAGTTCTTCTCATTATGAACTCTTTTGGAAATGTTGATGCTGATCTATCTCCTTCTGTGATAGAGTCATGCAAAGGTTGAACAAGTTCTTCTCATTATGAACTTCTTCTTCCTCTTCAGATAAGTTCTTCTCATTATGAACTTTCTCTGGAAAAGTTAATGCTGATCTATCTCCTTCTGTAATAGAGTCATGCAAAGGTTGAACAAGTTCTTCTCATTATGAACTTCTTCTTCCTCTTTAGATAAGTTCTTCTCATTATGAACTTTTTTTGGAAATGCTGATCCATCGAGTGATGAATTCGAGCGAAATGTTGAACAAATTCTTCTCATTATGAACTTCTTCTTCCTTCTTCAGATGAGTTCTTCTCATTATGAACTCTTCTGGAAA